TTCCCTACATTTTTACTGACACTGAATATATGTTTAAAACTTTTTTTGCTAATCTGAGAAGTGAAAAGTAAACTGAAGCATCTTAATTTCAGGTTTAGCAGCTTCCTCAAAAGACATAGCCTAAGGATTTAATTAGCTTTATTAAGCTTGATGTTTAAGACATATATGATAAAGAACTATAAACTTTTAGCCAAAATTCAAGTATCTTAATGCTTAAGAAATTTTTTTTTTAAATAATGAAAAATTAAATGTTGTATTGTTTTAATACTGCTTAATTTTCACCTCCAGTGTCCATCATAATCCAGCACCTTTTCTGCATTCATGGAAAAAAAAAGTTGCCTGGATTCATTTTCCAGGGATAACTTAGAATATGCACAGCCTCTCCATTTACCTGATTTGCAGGGTAAGTTGACATGAAGCCACTGGAAGTCTGGGCTGCAGCTCCCCCGACTGGTCCAACAAGATTAATGCCCATGACTGGCTGTCCAAGGGTGAGGGGCATGGAGCCTGCCGGGCCTGAAGGCATCCCAGTTGGCTGACTCACAGCAGTAGGCAAAGTCATAGGAAAGCCACTTAAAGTTGGAACAGGAGCCGCTGGAAACTGATTTAAAGCATCAGGACTCATGGCAGGAACACCCCTCTACATAGAACAGGAGGAAAATGGAAACATTTTAGGAAATTGCAAACCACATACAACCCAAATCTGGCAAAGAGAGACCTAACTGTAAAATCTGTAGCCCTGGTATGTTTCCACTCTGACTCTCCCCAAACTCAGGAATTTGACACAAGAAAAGTAAGTTATGAGGTTAATGTGAATCTAATATTTAGCAAAGAAATGGCCAACACATACCAATTCTGACATTTTCACTCTGACAAGTTTGGTTAATTCACTACTATCAAATCATTTACAATGATTTTGTAATATGAGAAAAACTGCTGCCAGACCGAGTATACTTTATCTATATCTAAGGAATTTTAGACAAGGACTTCAAAGGACAGAGAGTAATTTCATCTATTACTAACTAACTTTCAAGTTCAGAAGGGTTACAGTTAGGTCAGAGAATGTTAATATATTAAAGTCTTTAAACAAAGGAATATTTTGCTAGTATGCACATCATATAAAATGTACATTTTTGAAGAACTGTATCCTGAAAATAATCTAAATTTTAATGTCCAAGGAGTTCTGCAAGGTTGTAGAAAAAAAGGATTCATATTCTCTCAGTTTATATTGGAAAGTAATTTGACCTAACCTTAGAAACAACGTCTACCTGTGTTACTGCTATCATGGCGAGAACAGTATAAAGTTCTTCTTTAGTAAGTTTGCCAGGTGTGGTTCGATTAGCTAAGGCCCATATCTGTCCAAGAGTTTCCCTGGGAAGTCCGGATGACATCAGGATGGGATAAAGTTTAGCAGTATCTATTCCAGTCGGAGTCATTGTGGTTTCTAAAATTTTCTTATATGCATCTGTTAAAGGAAAGACCAGATTACAAATGTAAACATATTACAAGTGATTCATCTTTTTTGTTGTCATTGCTGCTTATACAAGAATAAACTTAAGTCAAACTGCTTTAAGAGAACTGAAGCCACATCAAGGGTTTAAGCTGCTGTAAAGATATTCAAGTGGAAATATCCAGCAGACAATTAGGGTCTGGAGCTTAGAAGAGAGGTTGGAGTTTGGCCCTACAGACAAAGATTTGGGGTTAAGGGTAAGAGAAAGTCGTATAATTCATTAGTAAATAGGAACAACAATAAGATGGAGGTGGTATAAGCAGATGTTTTGGACTTTAAAAAAGAAGTTGTAGAGTAATGCTGGTGGGACTAATTTGAAAATAGCAGTGGGAAGCAAGAATTATACCAATATCACCTTTCTCTTGTCCCAGTGAATTAGAGGCTATTAGAGGAAACATCATTGGGTAAGGTGCTTTGGGAACACAGCCTTTAGAAAGACAGGGTTTCAGTTAGACGGTGGAAAGTGTTTGAAAAAAGGAAGGGACTGCTGGGGAGTTTTTCACTATAAAATGGCCTTTCCAAAGGACAAAGTGGGAAAGGCTGTTAGGGATAGGGTTGCCACATAAAATATAGGACGCCAATTATTGCATGGGGTATACTTATACTAAACAACTATTTGCTGTTTCTCTGAAATTCAAATTTAACTGGATGTTCTGTATGCTTATTTGCTAAATCTAGCAAGCCTAGTTAGAGGAGTTTGGGGGATGAAAGTAGGGCTAAGGCAGACAGAGAAAAACCCTTAAAGCAAAAATTTTACATCTTGCATTTAGATATGGATTACAGGTTAGTAGGCTGACCATAAGAACACATATTTTGGCTAGGAAATTATGTGTACGTGTATGTTTGGAGGGAGAAGGGAGAAAGAAATACAAGCTGGCAGAAAAGGGACAGAATCCCAAAATATACCAAGATCTAGATTTTGTTTGTTTGGCTTGTAGACAGAGAGAAAGAAGAAAAGATGCAACCTGTCTAACGGGCAGTTGGGAGGAAATCAATTATCTTTATGTACAACTGAAGTCCCCTGTGGTTTTGGGAAATGAGCCTTTCAATTTGTGATTATGTGATTCTGAGGAAAAGCAGACATTACTAATTTCTTCCCCAAAAAAGTTGAGCTACAGGGATCTTGCATGAGTTTTATTTAAATTAAGTGCAGAACCAACCTAGATCAAGTCTGTGACCAACAAAGAGAGCTAAAGATCAAAGTTACCTTTAGTTTTTAAGGGGTTTGCAAAGCAAACTGAACAAGTTGCAATATACTAAGAGTGATTAACGTAATGTCATTGTAATAATCATTATTCTATGCACATCAACTATGGCTTAAACACACTATTCCCTTGTACCAACTGAATACTACATCACAAAATGTGTACCTCAGTGATTTTTTAGCTCAGCAGTTAATAACATACATAAAGAAAAAAGTAAACAACATCTTCCAATGTAGGAAAAGATGCCACTTGGTCTTTTACTTCATATAGTTTTATATTGACAAAGTCAAAGAATATTTTTTAAATATATAAACGAATCACCAAGAGTTCAGAAAATTTTACTATATGTATTAGTACTATTCTTGATGTTATTAATAATCTGTGAAATAAATATTTGATAGTATCTTTTAAATCATAATAAATCTAAGAAAAGCTTTTAGATATAAAAGTATATGATGGTCAATAAAACATTAAAGCAAAACACTGCTTCATTTATATAGTTATTTCATACATGAGACAGTCTTTTTTTTTTAATATTTATTTATTTATTTATTTATTTGGCTGTGCCGTATCTTAGTTGCTGCACGTGGGATCTTTTTTTTTTTTAGCTGCAGCTTGTGAGATGTAGTTCCCTGACCAGGGATCGAACCCTGGCGCCCTACATTGCAAGCACGGAGTCTTAACCACTGGACCACGAGAGAAGTCCCTATGAGGCAGTCTTCAACACTAGATGTATTTAATTTTCTGTACTCTTTTAGAAAAAATAAGAAAAAGATACAATTCCTTCTGCATATTCTGTAACCACAATAGTAAATATTTATAACTACATTTACAACATTTAAAGTAACGTATCCAGATAGGAATCTTGGACAAAAAAGCTCTTTTTACCTGGAACCAAACTTTCATTGTATATCCAAGGAGGCATTCTGGGCTGAACAGGATCCTGTGAGGGAAATACTCCCACACCTAAGAAGTTAAAGAACATTATCTAATGTATATACTGGTCCATGTAGCAGATGGGGAAATCACACTGTCATGTTTTTTTTATAAGAAGAGCACTGGAAACACTAAAATAAAAAAAGTCACCAACACAACTAAAATTTGGTTTCTAAGCAACTCTTGTACACCTATGTCCTAAGGTGTAAACTAAAAATAAACAAAAAAATACCCCTAAGATGTACAAAATCAATATTCTGGATCACATGAGGCTTGTGCCAGTCACATATATTACAAATTAAAGACAAAAACATGAGAGATGATGGTTTAAAGATTACATATGCAAAACAAAAGGAAAAATGCCCAAGCTTCACTTGCAACTTTTAATAACACTTCTTTGCAAAGTCTGATTTTTTAAAATCCTGAATATGACACTGCTGCCTTAGATGTATAGTATTTTTGTTTAAAATTTTTGTTTTTCACTTTGTCCTGTAAAATAGCCTCCAAAAGTTTGCCTCCTGGGCTGCCCACATTGTAATTCATCTCTGCAAGTTGAGTTTACAAAAATGTGGATCTAATTTAGGCAGCAGTGTGTACGATTAATTTCAGAGAAGCAAAACTATATTCTCATTGGTGACTTTTCCAGTTAAATTTTAACTTTTCAACCTTATAGAAGAACAGAAAGTTTAAGAGGGGGAAAAAGTTTTTTATAAAATAAAAGGAGAAGAAATTTTAAATCAGAAATGATTCCGATTAAAAAAACTGGTTATCAAAATTTTTTTAAAAGGAATAACAGCGTGTTTAAAGAATTCAGAGCAAAATTGTAGGGGTTAATTAGAGAGAGGAATGCATTAAATATATTTTAAGCAAAATTTTGATTAGCAAAATCAAGCAGCATTCATTTTAAGATTAATGCCTAAGGTGTTAGCATTTGAGCAACATTTGGTTAAATGAACTTTTCGCTGAATATTTCATGAGCTCACCACTCTCCTCAATGGACAGGTTTTGGTCTGAAGTCTTTTCTGCCTCTGCGGTAGTGGTACCACTTACACGTCCATCTACAGCACCCCCGTTATTGGCCGTTAAACTGGAATGGTTCTTACTGGAACCTGGGCCTAGGGCTTTGTGCCCAACTTCAGAAGTATTTAATTTAATTTGTTCCTGCCCCGATGTACTTATATCACAAGATACTAGGAGCTTCTCCTCCAAGGAAGGGCCTAAACAAACAGCATGAAGGATTATTTGTATATAACTGCAAGCTTCTAATTTTTCAACCATCCATCTCCACCCCCCAAATTCTAAAGGGAAGGCCCTGCCACATATAATATAAATTTTGAAATAATTCAAGTCCACACATTTGTCTAGGGCTTGAGACACTTCAGCGATTTTAGAGAACTTAAACATTATCTACTTTGATTCTCAGGAATTCTGTGAGACAGTAGGTAGAATGGTATAGTGGAAGGTGTACTACCTTAGAAATTTGGTGACCTATACAAGATACAGACACTTCTACTAACTATCGCCTATTTCTTCATCTGTCAACCAAGAACGTGTAGATGAGTACATGTCTGCTAAGATTCCTCTCAGCACTATTCTGTGCCTCAAGACACAGTAACTGCCTCCCGCCCCCACAAGTGATGAAACTGAGGTACAGAAATGTTTAAAGATTTGTCCAGGGACAAACTGGTAGTAAATGGAGAACCTGGGCTTCTGACCCCAACGTGCTTTATCACTGAGAGCACTTTCTAAAGCAGCTTTCCCTGGCTCATTACTCTTAAGAAAATGATGGTGGTGATTTCCCCAAACAAGAGGCATCTCCTGAAGAAATCAATGTGTTCTTAAAGTTCTAAGGTGGTTTAAATAGGTCCTAATTTAGGAGCAGATGTTTCTAATCACTTTCCCAGAACGTGAAGCCCCCAGAATTAAAAAATCTATATTCTTAACTTTGGTGAATTTCAACAGTACTCATACATTCAGGCACATGTTTCTGTGCCAACATCACTGTATTATTCTACTTATATAAGTGAAATAAATTATCCTAGATTATTTAAAAAATACTTTCATTAATAGTCTAGTAGTTACCTGCTTTCTGCACATTGTATGAGGCTGAAGCAGTAGAGAAATAAGGAATTTGCCCAGGGACACCATGTAAGGCAACAGACACTGGACTCTGACCTGGAGGGATATACTGTGCTCCAGCCTTCTGAGCATGCAACTGGCCAAGTGGGGTGGTGGGGTGGAAAGACTGAAAAGGCTGGGAAGTGGAAGAAGGCCCACATGTGGGAGCTTCAACAGGCCCCTGCATAAAGTCACTGAATTCTTCTTCATCAAGAAAGGCGGGTGATGGGGAGACAGTTTTAGCAGAATGAAATGATGTGGGATAATCTGCAAAATGGAAAACGGCAATGAAACACACACAGAAATGAAAATCAAAAGGGGAAAAGAAATTAAGATGTAGTATAACCCCAAAAGAATATACTGAAACATGAATAGTGGAGGTGAATAAGAAATAACATGTAACAACAAACAGAATCATACAATGAATGCAAAACACTCTGATGTCTAATTTACAAACAATTTTTTAGTCTTTTTTTTTTTTTTTTTTTTGCGCTATGCGGGCCTCTCCCTGCTGTGGCCTCTCCCGTTGCAGAACACAGGCTCCGGACACGCAGGCTCAGCGGCCATGGCTCACAGGCCCAGCCGCTCCGCGGCATGTGGGATCTGCCCAGACCGGGGAATGAACCCGCGTCCCCTGCATTGGCAGGCGGACTCTCAACCACTGCGCCACCAGGGAAGCCCTAGTCTTTTTTTTTTTTTTAACATCTTTATTGGAGTATAATTGCTTTACAATGGCGTGTTACGTTTCTGTTGTGTATAACAGTGAATCAGCTATATGCATACATATATCCCCATATCCCCTCCCTCTTGCGCCTCCCTATCCCACCCTGTAGGTGGTCACAAAGCACCGAGCTGATCTCCCCGTGCTATGTGGCTGCTTCCCACTAGCTATCTATTTTACATTTGGTAGTGTATATATGTCAATGCTACTCTCTCACTTCGTCCAGCTTACCCTTTTCCCCTCCCCATGTCCTCAAGTCCATTCTCTACATCTGCGTCTTTATTCCTATCCTGCCGAACCATTTTTTTTTAGACTCCATGTATATGTGCTAGCATACAGTATTTGCTTTTCTGACTTACTTCACTCTGTATGACAGACTCTAGGTCCATCCACCTCACTACAAATAACTCAATTTCATTTTTAGTCTTTTTTAAAAAGAGGTTTTATAGCTATTTTGCATTTCGTTCAAAAACAGAAAAATGTAAAACTCAAAATTTCTTTCCTTCTTTTATTAAGTTAGCACTTATTTTTTTTTCCTTGAGACCACTAATAATTTACATCAAAGTGGTGATTATTTTTGAAATCCAATTGATCTGTTTATCTGGATAATATTTTCTCAAACCAATATAAATAAGAGAAACAACCTATATGTTGCTGAATACATTTTAGACAGATATATACTGATGATTAAATTTCATTATGCCAGTAAAAAAACAATGCATGACGCATACTTGTAATTTTTGACAAATCATGCCTAATCCATACACTTAGCATAGTTCATATTTCATATGAGGATGAAACTTACTGTGTGGGGAATAAAAATTACAAAGGCAACAAGAACATCAAACATATTACCAAAGTGATATTTCCTTGTGAAAAGCATCAAAATTAGGACATCATAAAGTGCTAAGTCAAATAACTCAAAAGCCAATTTCAGAAAGTAAACCCTAAGAGCTATGTTTAAAAGGTCTTTGCCTCTAAAAGATATAAACATCACTGGGGCTTTTTACTGTTAAATATGAGATTCACTTATGTAATAAACCTTCTCTACAGGGATTATGTTTAATACTAGGCTCATTAACAATACTATTATTGTTGCTTCTTCACATTTTTAACTTCTTTGTATTGCTTTACCATTTACTAGAGTCTAATGTCACAAGGAGCAGTCTTTTTTAAAAAAGGCTCTCATTTGTCCGCCTGCCGTTGCAGGAGACGCGGGTTCGTGCCCCGTTTCGGGAGGATCCCACATGCCGCGGAGCGGCTGGGCCCGTGAGCCATGGCCGCTGGGCCTGCGCGTCCGGAGCCTGTGCTCCGCAAATGGGAGAGGCCACAACAGTGAGTGGCCCGCATAACGTAAGAAACAAAAAA